CGAAAAAAGAAGTCGAAAATATAGAATAAAAATTTTTCGTTCGAGGCTTTGTTTTCGAGAAAATCGACTTTGAATGTTCGCTCGGTACGCGTGCACTTTATCACGTCTCGTTATAACGGATCTCACTGTAGATCGTTGTCTCGATGGAAAAATTTAAAAGAAAAAAAAAATTTTTATTCTATATTTTCGACTTCTTTTTTCGTGTAGAATCACCCCCTTTTTGCCTGTACCACCAGTTACCAACCACTCTGTATAGGTTTCGAATTTCGAGAATCACGTTTTTAAAGGCATATACACGCTGATTTTTACCATTTACAATTCTATCGCTGAAAGGATAGTTAAATCTAACTGTCACCGCACGTCGAGCAGCAAACAAGTTGTATTACCATAATCTCATCACTGGGACGCAGATTATATCCGCGTTTCTGTTAATTCCATGTTAAATAATTTTCGTTGAACACGCGGACTTCCAGGATCTAATCTTCTCTGTGCAGCGCGTTTCGTCGTGTTAGCTTGTCTTCTTTGCTTCTTCGATAATGCTCAACAATCGAGCCCCTCAACAATCTCAACATCCAATCTGATAAACTGGGGTTAACTTCGTTTTCTCTTAATTTCTTAATTTCATCGCAGCTTACTGTTTACATAAGTACGTACATCAACGTTTTATATAACTACATTAATGTACAATTCTTGAGAAACGAATGATACCTCAAATCCATTTATCTATTGCAACAATATTATGCAAATATGTAATAGGAAATTGTAAGAAAAATTTAAAAGACAATGTTTGAAACGTTATTGTTCCTGTACGTCTCAATTTACGTAGTCAATTGATGTCCGAATGAATCAATCGTGATGGTTATCGATTCCATCGATCGTTTAATATTAGCCTGGAAGCGATTCAGACAGGTATTAACTTATAAGCGTATGTATATTGTATCGCGTGATTTGAGCTATTATTCGTACAGGGAGGATCAATAGTCGCGACGTAGACCTTTTAAAGACTAGTATTATGCAAATTTAATTTTCTGCAGTTTTATAACACTTATATGATACTATTTTTTACTGGTTAACGACTGAAGATTTATTCCTATAGATTTTTCTTTGAACGTCTATGTAAAACGAACCAATAAACGCAAAGGCTAATCAATGTCTAAATTTCTTAGAATAATCCGGTAATGAAAGATTGTTCGTCTAAATAAGAAGGTTCGATAATTTTCTTATTACGTAAACGACGATACGTCGCAAGCAATGAAAAAGGATTGCAAATTCTTTAAATCCACTCGTAACTAACTACGTGTCGTCTCAGTCAATTTAGCTCACTGTCCGCTTGATAATATTTGTTTAACGCGCTGCATCGACCGTATGCTCGGCGCATATACAAAAATCAAAGTGCATCGTCTCTTTCAGATGCATCCGGCTTGATTCGCAAATTTAAAGAAGCGGGTCGTCGTGTCAATGGATCTTTCACCGCACATCATCGAACGAATCTGTTCTTCCTCGTCCCTTTCTCTCCCTTCCTTCTTATCGAATCCCGAGGTTCTTTCATAATTTTGCCTTTACTAAGTATTACACGAGTGTCACGCGTTGAGGCTAACTTATGTGATACTTGACACACTGCTACCAGCGATAACGAGCCACCTGGAACGAGACTAACGAGCATCTCACATTTCATATGATGTATTCTGCCGTTACTGACATAGTACGCGATACATCCACGCTAGAGATGAGTCATTACACACCTTGTGTATTGTCCACCCTCGCCATGGGGGCTTCCTTCCGCGAAGAAATCGTCGAACCGCCTCCAATTATTGAACTTTGATTAGATCTCGATTGTTCGTCCCGGACATGTCTGGTGTAACGTAACCGGTTGTGATAATGAGTCGAGAGAATTGCATCATAAATCGTAATTGATTTTGTAATTGCTAACACTCTAGACTGGACGTATTGTTGCTAATGCTACATTATCGGAAAGCATTTTATTGCTAAAAAATTAAATAGTATATCGACCGTATATCGCTTATCGTTATTGGCCAGCGTGAAACATGCTAGGATATCTGTTGATAGTTGGAGAAAAATTAAAATAAAACAGGTTTCTAAAATACTCGCAGTCATACGTTTACTCTGCTTTACTATGCAGAAGATTAGGATCTCTACGTCTCTGTTATTTTAATCTAAACAAAAAATATATGGAAATTTTTAGAATATTTTATATGGATCGTGAATGTTTGTGTATTCATAGAAATTTGGAAGTTCCTGAAATCCGCAGAATGTATAATACCTACTTAGTATAATATTTGGCGAATAAAAGAATTCTTTGCCTAGGTATCATGTTTTGAGTTATTCATAAAAAAATTATTCATACAAATTATGTATACACTTTCAACCAGTTTTTAATGATAATGATCCAATATAAATCACGGGCGCTTTGAAAAGTAAAAACGTTATACGTAAATATTCAAAGGATCATGGAGAAATTAACGTACACGCGTACAGATTAATGTAACAGAGGGAAAAATACAACATCGATATTAAGTTGAAGTTAAAAAATAAAAGTGGGATCGTTACTTATACATTTAATAAAATCCTTCGCTTTTTTCACTAATTATTCGAAAATACGATCATCTGCACGATAGCGCTCTATAAAGCGAAGGAATTCGTCCATTCTTAATTCTCTTTTTTATTTTAATCCATTCTAAGAAGAAATGGTAGGATAATTTAAATATAATAAAGACCAACAATGCAAGGACTACATAGTGACGTCAACTGAACATTTCCATTTAAAGTTAAGCAGAAATATCGTGTCTATCATTAATCTTGGTCATACTATATTCAGTTACGCTTTTCCTTTTTCTTACACATTCTGCATTTCGAAAATGTACATGTGCAGAACGTATCACCTTGATAGAAAGATGCTGCATACACATGACATCTCGTTTCTCGACAACCGCTGATTCTCCTCGTCACATTGACTTACACTCGTCGGACCGTACATTTCAATCCCGCTTCAGAACGTTTTCTCATGCTAATTTCGCTGTGGCCCGTTTCCATCTCGCACGACGCTCACGTACACCGTCTAAATCAGTTTGTTTGCGGAACGGCGTGCGAAACATTCTACGCTGATGCACCGTATACGTCCGATCATTAACAATAACTTATGCACCTGTCAGATAAGTTGCTGCACGTTAACAGCATATTTTCTGCAAACGTTAGTTTCCACTTGGTATCAACTCGCAAGTAATAATTTTGAAGTGCCTTAAAAATTCTTGATTAAAAATAGATCATATTAGAATATACGTATAAGAATAAGTTATATTTAGACCTGGATAGATGTTTATGCAAATTGATATTTCTATGAACAGAACTAAAGATTAAAGGATACTAAAGGACTAAAGACGCAAAGATTTGTTTCACCTACTAAATATCATAACGGATACTGTACTTTGCTTCTGTCGTATGTATGCCTGCATATTACGCGCATTCTGTGCATTTTTACTTTTACGTTTCTTTTAACGTTTCAATTTGAATTTATACGAGGACAAAGGTGAACCAAGCCATATCTTCTCTCGATGCAAGCTTACGTTATTGCAGTAAGCTGTATTAATCGTGAAAAAGTGGAGGAACTGGTTCTTCTTTCCAAAACAAACCTAGATAACATAACGAAATCGGTCGTTGCTCGATTTATTGAGTAACTGAGATTCGCCCACTCTTGTTTTCAATTTCTAGCGTGTACGTGTAGTCTACTCTTGCTGCTGATACTTTCGAAGTAAATCTAAAGAAGCTGGAAAGCTTGAGAAATTAATTAAAAAACAGAGATTTTTCATTTATGTGTAACAGAAGATCGATGAATTAGGTTTTGCACTCGAGGTAATCTAATCTGTACACATTTTAGAAAAGAATCAATTTCTTTTTAATTTCTCAAGATACGCGCACAAAGAGAGGAGAGGTTCTATCACTTTCGAATAATGCGATTGATTCCATTCTATCAATGAAGGCATGCCGATGTTTGCCAACCGTTTCAACGAGCTTCATTGTCTTTCTTCAATTTTATTATTAGGTTTCATAGCACGCGCAAACGCATAACATATGCGAAATGAAAATAGATTCATTGCGCCTCTGTTACCATGGCCTTCGCTGCATATTTGCTTACAAGGTGCGTCTTAAAAGCATTGTAAACACCGCGTACTCTATCTACCAGTTGATTGCGTATCTCGTTTGGCGCGGAAAGAATCGAACTCGCCGCAGTGCCACTTGCTTGATCCATAGCCCGCTTACTAGAACCAAATCTAAACTGCTGTTGACTTACCCTAGTCGCGTGAACACTACAGTAATTGAAGAATTAAAAGCAGATAATTTTCGATTATTTGAAACATTTAAAAACAACGTAAAAATAAGTTTGTTCTTCTTCAAATATACTATCCCGAAGAAAATACATAATGACGATTCAAATGATTATTTATATGCAAGACGAAAATCAAATATAACAAAAGTGCGTCGGAGGCTTCGTGTTTGAAAAAATCGAGTTTGAAAATTTACGAGGTACAGGGTACGTGAATTTGATCAATTGTCGGCTGGACTGAAATGGACAACTAATAGGAAATTGTTCTACACAAATAAATTGAAAATGAAGAATAAAATTTCGTTGTTTACACTCTCGTTTTGGGGAAAACGAAGTTTAGATACGTTAGCCAAGAATTAGTCCAAGTAGACGTAGATTTGATCGAAAAATGAGACTTCAAATGAAAAGATGTTATTCTACATTTTTGATATTATATTTCCATATGTAATATAATTCATCGATTATAGATCATCGACTATCTACTCCTGTCTAGCTGAGAATCAAACAAATTTACGCATACCTCACAAATTTTCAAAACGAAGCCCCCAACGCAGTTTTGTATGTGTTCAAAATCTATTAGTCATCGCATGTACAGTCAGTCACGAAAATATTCTGCAAATTTATTGCAGTTACAGGCTAAAACTCGCGAAGAACTGCAAACTTATAGTAACGTTAACCGATTTCGATGAAACTTTCAGTACGTATATAACTGATATAAATGTCCAACGTATGTTGTTTAAATTTTTTCAATATTTCTTTTACACGTTATCTGGTACTAATCCTTCTGGCTTCTCAAGAAAGCCCAAGTCGTTTGGTCCAATTTTTCAACAGTTATTCTACTCTAAAGAGTGTACAGATATTTCCGTGACTGACTACAGTCAACGCTTACGATAAGAAAGGAAAATTATAAGCCATAGAAAAACCCAGTGAACTATTACGCGAACGGTCCAGTTAATTTTTATTATCAATTTAATCCTACGATGTATACTTACCGATAAATGAAGTTAAGTTAAAAAAGAAACAGAGAATCTCATTTCGTTCTTCCTTAATGTCGTATCTGGAACGATGGCTGAATTAATAATACACCCCGATCTAACAATAAACCTCGTAACTCGAACGAGTCTCATCGACCTCGTTCGGGGACGAATGAAAAATAATCCGAATAAAAGGAACAAGCAAAACTCGCCATTATCGAAAATTTCACAAAAATTCATTCTGAAAAAGGGAAGAGAGAAGAATTTTTCAGAAAACGTTTTTAAAAGAAGAATCGACGATAGGTATCTGATGGACATGCACGTCGAATTAACGAAGCAGCCCATTGAAACGGTACAACAAAAGTCCGATCGTTCTATGCGGCGCTATATTTACCAGTTGCTTGGGTGTGTTGAAAAATATAAAGAAGCACGCTGTGCGTGGTAATACCAGGCTGTGATATTAAATTCGATGCAACGATGGTTCACGGTCGTGGGAATTTGTTTACAAATTGATGATAGCGGCTCTTCGATCGTCCGATGATTAGTTTCCGTTGATGGGACCGAGCGAAAGAAAAATTGCATAATTGACGTCGCTCTATGACCAAGGTAATAATGATTGCTTCGAGCTTTCTGATGAAACCGACGAGTAGCTTAATTTTTTTGCGATACGGTGTTTATCATTTGCCTTGTCGTTATAGATAATTAGCGCAAGATATTCGATATATCTTCAGATATCCCATATTGGGACCATTTTTAACGCGTATTTGATACGTTTAATTTTTTTTATTGGATATTTGTTTGCAGTAAATGTCTTGTAACTTTTATATAAATTTTTAGATTGAGTTTAAATTTTAAAATTTTTTCAGTTTTTGATAGAGTTTAAATTTTACCAATATACACTGCCTATCATAAGGATTAATATATCTACTCGTTGCGATTGTTGCAAAAGTCTAATTTTTACTTTGTTTAATATCTTACATTGTAAGCCACCTACGAATTAACACACGGAAGAATCAACAGACGAATTAACAGATTTATAATAAAATAATGAAAAAATGAAGGCATTGCAAGGCATTCAATTTAAATTAACGTCATGAAGTATCCAACTACGTATAACCGATAATGTAATTATGACAATCGTGTCTCAATATAGTGCTAATGAAATTTTAAAATGTACAAGTTTTCCACAATGAACGTTTAAATGCTCTTGCATATCTGTATATGAAGATCAAAGGGCAAAAAAATATAATAAGGCTACTTTCTTTAGTTTCCATCACTTTTGTATTATTTTGTGGCTAAAAAGTTATATTTTAATGCGAAATACACGTTTGAAGAAGCGAGTGATCTCATATATTTGATGATGCTTATAAATCCTTTGAAAATAGGTGATAGATCCACAGTGATTTTTAAGAATTAAATGTTTGTGTAATTGTCATGTTGCTTCAATTAAATTAATGGGAATCTACGTGTAACTGCTGTTATTAACGCGTCTTAAGTATGTAAGAGGATAAGAAAAACACATATTTAATCCCAAAATCAAACGCAAACACAGCTTTGATATGAAATTGTTTGGCAACCTATTCAATTTTAATATTGCTCATGTATAAAAGACGAGAAATATGATTTATCATGTTTTTCACCTGTGGTTGTGCTCTCTATAAGAGAAATGAAATATTAATTTCTTTTTTTTTTTTTATCGAACGGTCATCAGATATTACGGTTCGTCTTATTTTTCTCTTTCCAAGTTCTCCCGGTGTACATAAAAATCTCGTTAGAGTGAAATTAAATCCAGGAATTTCCATCGACGTATACTTATCAGCTATGTTACAAGGAGTTCGTTTCATCGTGTATCTTACTTATAACGTATCATGCTCGCGTGCTTAATACTCATTGTTGAACTTTCCATTACAAAAAGATATGGTACACGTAGCAAGAAAATCTCGAAATAATCCTATCAATAGTAAAAGCTATCTAGTTACGTAAACTGTCAAAGTTGTAAACTGTCGCAATTAATTTACGTGTATTATAATTGAGGAGATTTCTTATTCGCCATGAGGCGAAATGGCAAATTGACCAATTTACATTCAAGTCTTAGCTATAATTTTTTAATATTAGCCTTAAGCTTTCTAGCTTTTTGATTATACCTTTAAATTGATAATTATGAAGAAGCTCGTGAAGAACTTCTAAAGAATTTCTTAGAAAACTTTGTTTCCTCTTTTATATTTACAAAATAATTGAAATTTAAAATAATTTAACTGTTTGGCTAGAACACGCCTACAAGCTCTTTTATTGGAAAACTCTTCAATTACGCTGCAATTTGATTCTTCATTTTATCTAGATCTTCATTTTTATCTGAATTGCACGAAGTATGTTAATACAAATATTAAATAATAAACATTGGAGTAAAAAACAAGCTAAATCATTATAAAATAATCCATTTCGATAATCTTTACAATCGATGATATAAATAATGATTGATTAAGAAGCCAATGGTTTTTATCTTTCTGGCTCTAGTTTTAGTCCGTACACCTACTATTCTATTCACCACATAAATTATACAAGTGTAAGTTTCCTCAGTCGATACTAATTATTGACATTCCTTATCGGATTAGGAATGACCCGAATATGTACATATTCCAGGTACTCTATTGAAAATATCGCTCAAAATAAATTTCTCGATCTATCAAAATTTCATACTTGATAAATTCTCATCCGGTTAATTTTATCGCGTTCATGTGATCTGAAAGACCGCTGACTCGATTAGCCACTTCACATTCAGATAAAAGTTACAGGTATCTAGAAAAAAACGCAATACGAGACCGAAACAACAATAAAAATGATATATCGTTATTATTAAACCGTTATCGTAATATGTTATTAAAAAAATCAAAGAAAATACATTCGGGAGAAAAAATTATCGGACTGTTCTCTTGGTAATCATTCGTATTATTCTTCGAGTTATTCCTTACAATTTATCAAGAGGGCAATATGAATCATGTGCGGCTCCACGTTACATTTATTAATCTCTCAACTTCATTACATAAATTCATTATTTTTCATTCATTGCATCAATTTTATATTCATATTCATATTTATGTTCACATTCATATTCATGTTCATATTCATATTCATATTGAATAGTTGAGAGACAAATAAATTACATGAAACCATAAAACGTAACAGTTGGCTTACGAAAGTTTGGCTGAAATTTTTAATAAATTTTTTATAAGATGAAAAAGAGGCTGGCCAGTGGACATGTTCGATTAAACGATTCTTATATATGGTAAAATTTGAAAGAAATCTGAATGAATTATCTATATTATACATATTAATAAGCCTCTTCTTTGAAAGTAAATTATTTTTCTAGACTAGGACTTCAACCTATCGGCAATTAACATAGTAGAAGACCGTGTAAATAAAAATTTCAAGGAACGATAGAGATAGCGGACAGTCAATTAAAGAGGTAGATAACTTTAATGATTTCGCTTCCCTTGATTTTCATTTTTTTACACAATCGAGGAAATAATCACCAGTAAGTATACGTCGCTAGATTTCTCTCTTGAACTTGGATTTTATCAGTTTCCATTGTTGAACGATAACAAACTTATTACCTGCTTTTTTTCAAAGAAGTATGTATTCACTTTTTATGCCATCTTTATACGACAATATGATTAGCAGAGATCAACTATAATCAGCTGTGTTATATGAATCATGCATCGGTAAAATTATCCGCAACGAGTGTGTTCTTCCTTTTCCCTTAGTAATCATTTTACAAACATAAAGATTTCGTGCGAACAGTGGCTACAGAAAAACTGCGACGTTTTACAGAGATTTATATTTTGAAAAATGTAACTGAAATAGTAGAGCCTTGACAAAAAATTATTTTACCCATCAACTATTACGCAAAGCACTACACTATTTCATATTTTATATATTTTCTTATATTAAACGCGTTCTGCACAATTTTGCACCTTCAAATTTTCTATTAATATTTATATCATTGTATTTATTATGTTGAAGTTAATTAGATTCAGGTACATGAAATTTCGTACCATGTGTTTGTTAGTATCTCTAAATATAATTAGAAAAATTTGATATTACGAAAGCGAAGCGTAAAGCCTGATAACGTGAACGCGATTGAAATTAATAAATACTATAATCCTTCGAATTTTATTTTTAGAAGAAGAGAGTACATTTTTTATTATACAATATTAATTGATACTATCGATACAATTTCGAGAGACGTTTTATCTTAATCTATTATTGGAGATTATTGCGCTTAAAAATTGATATGATCTATTATTCCCCTCTTCGCCTTCTTGTTTCATATATATTTTATATAATTAATCGCAACTTAATCCGCATTTATTTACTAATTAGGGACTAAACAGTGAAAAAATACGTAAAAAGTCGGGTAATGGGAGGAAAATATCTTACACGTTGGCTTCATAGATGCTGATTATACAAATATAATAGACATGAAAAGTTGTCGTAATTTCAAAGAGAATAATTTATTATGATGTTATGAATTCGTACTTCAAAGTCCATCAAATTCTAAGGATAAAACATAGCAATTAATGATGAATTATTAATGAACTTTTCCGACCTTTCTGTCACATTATTGTCATCGTCTTGCGAAACAACATTGAAAGGAAATATTTGCAAAGTCATATCTTATAAAATCCACGTGTTATATGCCAATCCATATATTCAACGCAGTGAAAAAAGATTGCGTCATATGTATTACATATAAACATAACGTCAGTCTTTAAGAAATTAATCTATAAACCATTTGTAATTTACATTTCATTAACTTACACGTAGCTAGAGATGAAATGTTACATTAACATAACATTTTCTCTGAGGAAATTAATCTAATAAATCATTCCACATTGCTGGATACATATGCAGATAGTGGTAAAAAATGCAACTGTGCAGCTCACGCGGTAGTCGCACACTTCTCATGAACATTATCACGTGTGTTAAACGAAACATTTCAAAATTTTATTGGCACTGTAACGACGCCCAAGTATTATGATTATTAATAACTATTATTTGATACAATTTTGAATTTTTGGAATTCCTCTCTTTGAGATTTTTGTAAACGTATATAGAAATTGCAAGATGTATATATTTTGCAGACACAAAAATATTTGAACAGGCTATCATTCACTGTAATAGCTATTATAATATGCTTAAGATTTTTCTACTAATTATTCATAATACTAACTTTTCACTAAATATAAGTTTACGGTTAATACCTTGCAACTACTAAGTATGCATGTATATTTTCAAATTGGATTCGAGTTTTACCGATATAGTCATATCAGTGGTGTCTCATCACAGCATTAATCAAATTTCAGAATGTTTTATATAATACGCATGACACGCACATGAAAATTTTCCATGGTAAATGTACAAATACATTTTGGAGCCAATTTGTATGTATACATATGGATACATATTTGATCATACATACATATACATATTTGATCTCTATATCTTTCCAGTATCTTCGAATATAGATAATATCATAGCATATACTGAAGTCATATATCGGTCGTATATAGCTATGTATTATGACAAAGTACTTTCTATTTTTAACCTCATCTAATGTCTCACTGATAAACCACACCCGCGGAAGTGGACATTCGATAACAACCTACTATTAATGGCTTCTCTTTAGCTTAACGAACGTAAGACGTGCTCGTAAATCTATTTACTTTAATGATCAACGATAATGCGACATATTGACATTTGCAGTTATACATGGGTTTTAATATACCGCATGATCTTTGATTTTCTATTGAAATTACTTCGAAACGTTGTTCCGTAGAAAGAGAAACTTCAAGAATTCATTAAACGTTACCGGGGACGGTAAAAAACGAAATCGGTTAATCCGAAAATCTCCAAAAACACAGAGGAATCTGTTTTCAGCCGAATCTTGACGTCATCGTTCACGGAAGAACGTGAGAAAGCGTGATTTTCGTGCATGTTCTCTTGAAGTCATAGATGACGCATTTATTCCAAGTTAATATTGACACATTTTTTTAGGTCGATTTGTACTGCAATTTTTATCTTGTACCACGAGGTAAAAAGTTAAAATCTTCTGCTTGTTCACACGATTATTTCAAATACATTTTTTCGGCGTCATGAGTCAATATTTGTCCAAGCCATAATCAAACTGCCAGTTATATTGGAAAATTTGTAATTTGCATTGAACGATAAGAAACGGCCACCTGCCTGAGCTGCAAAGATTTTCTTAATTACATTCTGTTATTTTATCCTTTTGGATTGTTTTATTAATCTTGTGCATTATTTGTACAAGTTAAACCAATCTTTTTCCAGTTTGCGTCAGCCACAGTTTATACAATAAGTAATGAAAGAACACATACAAAATGTTTCCGAATAGAACCGTTATCAATATTGGAAATATTTATAGTAAACGATGCTTCATCTGATTATGCATTACACCTGAAGGAGAAAAGAGAAAAAGAAATCAAAATTTCCTACAGCTGCTTAAGACAAAAAACTCACGATCAGTTGCCAACTCGAAATTCGCCAATTGGATAAAATACATGCATATATATACATATATTAAAAGGATCGGAAAACGTATTTACGTAATACTTCTCATCGTTTAGGATTGCATCGGAGAACCACGTACTACTCATTTCATAAGACTGAATGATAAATTTGATAAGATTTTAAAATAATATGTTTATAAAATATAAATACTTCGGTTATCAATATTTCTAAAGTTAGATGAAAGAATTTAAATGTAAAGGAATGATTAAAAAATGTTTCAGAGACAAATAGATGATAATCCTGCTTCTTAATGACCATCGTGGTTACTTTAAAACTTTCGCGTAGATCCTCCTTTCCTTGAGCAATAAATATTGCAGAACTTGTGAAGTGAAATAAAAACCAGGTACTTCTAAGAACGTGTCTGCAATAGATAGTAAATGTAATATATATATATCAGAGGATTCGATAATAAATCACAGCAACAGAGGCGTAATTAAATTTACAAAGATAATGCGATAAAAATCATAATAAATACCTTGTAGAACGTGGGATGCTTAGTTTTGATAAATTACCAGATTATCGTTGATATATTATCGGACCAACTTTTCAATCGTATTAAAAATAACTTAAGTATTAAATACGTTTAAATATTAAGAAAACACTGTATTTTTTCTTTTTTTTTTTCTTCTTGCGAAATGATATGATTGCTATAAATTTTACTTTATCAGTCAACATTTGTTGATAATGATTTTCGTGCATTGTTTACCTTTTATTATCTAGTTGTATTGTAAAGTAGCACAGCCTAAATATTTGCGTTATATCATATTACATATACGTCTGAAATAGCGAATAATTTGCATTAGGCTACGTTTAAATATTCTTACTATAATAGTGATATTAGTATTATTATTTTTGTATAATTTCTTCGTAATTACCGCGAGCGCAACGTATACACAAAGTAAAATATCGAACAAATAAAGAAAAATATCGAATCAAATATAATAAATTTCCGTGTATATTGCGATTGTTGAAAAACATGATAATGTAGTGAAAACAGTTAATTAAATGGGACTATATCTTAAATTACAAACGAATGATTCTTTAAAAAATGTTTGATTCATTGATCCATACAAATTATATACTCTTAGTACTTTAATTCGTTCAAAATCAGATGTGAACTCCATCTATATACATGTATTCTGTTTTTATATACGTTTATAATTCCCACAAACATCATTACATGTATAAAAATATATATGTGAAGGCACAGCTTCTTAAAATAATCTATTTAAAGTGATTCAATATTTGGAAGAAATTTGTAAATTTGTATTCGTGCATCTTGCTGATCAGATGGCGTATAAAAAAAATGAGGGGATCACAAAAGTCACATTCCACAAGGTAATTCTCTTAATCAGTTTCTTTTTTTTAATAATAAAAATTTGCTCGCTTTATAGACTGAACGTTGAAACCCTATCACCACGTAGCGGTGAAAAAGTGAAACTAATCACTATTGCTGTCTGTATCTAACATTAGTATATATATATATCTATCTTTGTCGCACACTATTGCATCCCTTGCCTACGGAAGAGGCATATGCTACCATCTATTTGATACAAAAGTAACAGCAACTGAATAGGAGGACTGGATAGGAGCAGTAAGGATAAATGACAGCACATAACTTGCTAGATAAAGATAGCAATATTGTGCGACAAGGACAGATATACATACTTGAGTTAGACAAGAATTGCGATAATGTGCGACAAAGACTGCAATAGGGATTAGTTCCATCTTTCCACGGCTACATGGCGATAGTGTTTCAATGTTCATATAAATTTTCATTAGTGACAAAAACAAAGACGATTAATTTGTGAACTTTTATTATTTCGTCTTCCGAATTACATTCTATCGTTGTGTATACGGTCGTGTAAATATTCCAAACCACATTTTCATACATAAAACAACAAATTTTATTGAACACTTTGCTAACCTTAAATTGAATACTCATGTAAACGCACTTTAATGATTTGGAAATAATTGATAGTGTGCCATCTTATAACATTACCAATATAAAGATTGGTAAAGAAAACGGGATTTGGTTCTTTGGTGAATCTTTTTCATGTTCTGGAGGATATTTTTCTGTAAAATTTTGATGCTGAACGATGGATTCCATTCCCAGAACGCATGAAGGTTCGTTTGTCATAAATTAAATTCTGGTATTTATGATTGGAATTATACTTTATTTTAAATTATTACCTGCGATTCTATTCATTTATGTAATTTAATTACCGAATATTTACAAATCTTTATCTAAATTCCTTTGATTAGACTCAGTAATAAGAAACAACATAAGTAAATTTGATATTTAAGCAATCATTTGCTAATAGTTAATCTTAATTATTCTAGCCTTGCATTGTGTTAGATTCTTAATAAATTTAATGTAATTTGTATTTGTATTGATCTATATAGATATTGAAGCACAAATACGAGAAATACAGTCAAAGAAAAAAGAGATTCAAAATGCATCTACTGAAAAGGACCAAGTAGGGCTAGGAAAGACTGGGTTTTATGATCAAGATATTTACGATGGAAGTAATAATAAATATGAAGGCTATGTTACATCTATTGCAGCCAATGATGAGATTGAGGTAATTTCATTTTTTACCATGATGGTTGTTTTTATTGTAACATAATAAGTTATGAATTGTATTATTTTTTTTTAAGGATGAAGACTATGAACCAACAACCTTTAGTACTAATAAAAGACCAGGCTATACTGCACCAGCAGCATTACTCAATGATGTTGCACAGGTACAATATTTTGAAAACAATATTATTCTTATTATTATTAATGTTGCTAACGGTATTAATAATTTTAACTTAATAATGTTTAATTTTTTTATGCCCCAGAGTGAAAAGGATTATGATCCTTTTGCGGACAGACGACGACCCACCATAGCTGACAGAGAAGATGAATATAGGCAAAAAAGACGAAGAATGATTATATCGCCTGAGCGTGTCGATCCTTTTGCAGAAGGTTGGTATTTTTTTCTTCTTAAGTTAAGCAATTTGAAAACAAAACAGGTAATTAGATATTAAGTGTGTTTATATATTATTATCCTTGTTAATATTTTGAAGCAATATAATAAGTAAAAGAATAATAATTATGTACTAAATAATAATGAAGATAAATTAATTAATAGAGTTAAATATAATTTTTCTTTTTTTAGACTAAGATCACTTAGTGCATATAAGTGCTAATTATATTGCAACAAAATATGTGCACAATAAAGCTTCTATCACTGCAGTTTATAAAAAAACTAAGGTCATTTTAAATATATTTTTATATCTGAAAAAAGTCAACTTGATTTTAATGTGGCAAAAATGAAATTTAATTTAATAGATATTATTATTTTGTTCCAAATTATTAAATAGTCAAGTTGACTTTTTTTAAAATCATTTAATGGTACTACAAACTTGATTATAAAGTATCACAAGTTTCAATAACTGAATGACCATACCACCAATGTCTGTTTTGTATCATTTTTATCTTTATTAGAAAGTAATATAATGTAAAAGATGAACTTAAACTTGTATGCAATTATATTATTTAGTTTTCCAAATAATTAGTAACATAACTTAACATGTTTTAAATAATTTATAAGCAAATATGTGAAAATTTTATTTTCATTTATTCGTAATATGATTTAATTTGTTTCTTATACATATCACCACAGTAATTTAATATTTCACAAAATCAAAATTTTATATTAAATAGATAGACTTGTATATAGATGTTCAAAGAAGACATTAAATATAAATATATTACAACAAAAGTTATTTTCAATATTAACAAATATTAGTATATTTATCTAGTCTGTTTTAATGAATACACATTGAGCAATATCTTTCTGTTGCTGTAGTATTACTAACTATAATAACTGAGATAGAAGTTGTTTCACATATCAAAAATATTATGATTTATATTGTCTTTATATAAGTTTATGAAAGGCACAAATAATGATCTTTTAGTATATACAATCGGCTAATTATAATCAGATCTAAATTAGTGAAGGTACAGATTATATGTTGCTTGCACAGTTATTTTCTAAAATATTTGGGTTCAAAATATTTATCTCAGTTATTATAACAGTTAATAGATCTAAAAATTTTTCATGCTTAGATTGTGGAAGGGTTAAGAAATAAATAAGACAGACTGGCTTGAGTGAAAAGAGTGAATGTGATTCTTTCAAATAAATACTAATGTTTACATTTTTTTCCAATCTTAGTGACGGTCTGCACATTTGGAATCATCTGCTTACCGAGGATACTATGTCGAAGGTTAAGCGAGATTGAATTGTCACAGAGCATTACAGTCACATCGTATAAATGATACAATGAGACTTTTTTTTATATTCAATTATAATTTAATATATTTTCATGAGTTTCCTTTTTCACAAATTCTTTATTTACTGTTTTGATTGCTTACACGTATAACACATATGGGTCGATAAATTCTCATTGTATCACACATTTCTCGTGAGAACATAAATATTGAAACATAGTATGAGTGGTTGGTGTGCAAATATTATTAATAACAAGAATGAGTTGATTTTTAGATGGCTAAAGTATTTTTCGATGTGGAAGACATGAGCAGGACAGTGCTCCCTATGGCACCAAATTTTCACGTACGTATGCTATATGCCATCTGCTGTTGCAACTCTCTCAAACCCGTTGCGTAACTAACGCGATATTTTATTTACGATTTGTTGTTACATTTACTTCTGTAAAACATTTTTATTGTCATTTAATTTGATGATATATGCAACGTGGAAATGAGAGTCAATTCAGTAGTTTACTTAGAATATACTCAAATATTCTAGGGGCATTTTAACAATAAATATCATTATAATATCGCTAGGTATGTTCAGAAGTTTTTGAAAATTTAAGCATTCATTGAACAAATAACTAATGGTTACGCTCTGCGTGACTTTTGGTTCCTGATTACAGGTGGTAAGACGCCAGACATCGGTTCTAGGACATATACCGTGATTATGCGGGAACAGTTATTGAAAGGAGAAGAAACTGAGGTATATGATCAGCAATTTTAACACGTTCAACTTTTTCATTAATATTTAAGTAAAAAATATTATTAAGTAAAAATATATTTAAGATATTCACATAATATTTATACTTATAGTTAAGAAAAAAATTAGCAGAAAAAGCCAAAGAGGGAACATTGAAAGCAAATGGTGAACCTAAACCTGCACCTAAGAAAAGAGGTCGTTGGGACCAAACAGATGATGCTCCAACACCTAAGAAACCATCTGGTACAACTGCAACACCAACATCATGGGACAATGCAGATGTAAGTAAATAGATACTTCTGAACTAATTTTAACGTGTGAGAAATAATAAAAATTATTACCTTTTAAAATGTTATTAGGTAACACCTGCTGCAATTAGGTGGGATGAAACGCCTGGTCATGGTAAAGGTGGAGAAACTCCTGGTGCAACACCAGGTGTAAGTACAAGAATGTGGGATGCTACTCCAGGACACGCAACACCTGGTGCAGCTACTCCTGGTAGAGAAACTCCTTCTCATGAAAAAACTGTTTCAAGTCGTAGAAATCGTTGGGATGAGACACCAAAAACTGAACGTGGTAAATATAAAGTATATTTTATTAAGAAGATAGATAACAAATCAGGAATAAATAGTTAAATAATAAATGTTTGTTTTAGAAACACCTGGTCATAGCAGTGGTTGGGCAGAGACTCCAAGAACAGATCGAGTTGCAGGAGATTTAATTCAGGAGACACCAACACCTTCTGCTAGCAAACGTCGAAGTCGATGGGATGAAACACCTTCGAATCAGACACCTGGGTCTATGACGCCACAAACTCCAGCAACTCCTCTTACTACACCACATCAAACTTCAATTTTAACACCTAGTGGTGTAACACCAACAGGACCCAAAGCTATGGGATTGGCAACTCCAACACCAGGACATTTAATGTCAATGACACCAGAACAGCTTCAAGCATATCGTTGGGAACGAGAAATCGATGAGAGAAATAGACCACTCTCAGATGATGAACTGGATGCCCTGTTCCCACCTGGATACAAAGTTTTGCAACCACCTGCGGGTAAATGATGCAAAATAATGATTTTTAAAATTATGATTGAGAAATATTTAATTGTATATTTAATTTAATCTTTTATAATATAGGATATATTCCAATTCGCACACCTGCAAGGAAGCTCACTGCTACACCGACGCCTATTGCGGGCACACCACAAGGATTTTTCATTCAAACTGAGGATAAAACTGCGAAATTCGTAGACAATCAACCAAAAGGAAATTTGCCTTTTATGAAACCAGAAGACGCACAATATTTTGATAAGTTATTAGTCGATGTTGATGAAGAAACGCTTAGTCCTGAAGAACAAAAAGAGAGAAAAATAATGAAGCTGCTATTAAAAATTAAAAATGGCACACCACCAATGAGGAAAGCTGCTCTAAGACAAATTACAGATAAAGCAAGAGAATTTGGCGCAGGTCCTTTATTTAATCAGATACTCCCTCTTCTTATGTCTCCTACACTTGAAGATCAAGAACGGCATCTTCTTGTGAAAGTTATTGATCGTATTCTTTATAAACTGGATGATTTGGTCAGACCCTACGTACATAAGGTATGTTTATACCCTGTATATAATATTTTAACAATTTTCTCTTAACATTGATAAATGTAAAAATATGATTTATTTTTAGATTTTGGTCGTTATTGAACCTTTACTTATTGATGAAGATTACTATGCTCGTGTCGAAGGTAGAGAAATTATCTCTAATTTGGCTAAAGCAGCTGGTTTAGCAACGATGATCTCGACTATGAGACCAGATATTGACAATATTGATGAATACGTTCGTAACACGACAGCCAGAGCATTCGCTGTAGTCGCATCAGCTCTAGGAATTCCTTCTTTGCTTCCATTTCTTAAAGCCGTGTGTCGCAGTAAAAAGTCATGGCAAGCTCGTCACACGGGTATCAAAATTGTACAACAGATTGCTATTCTTATGGGATGTGCTATATTACCACATTTGAAGAGTTTGGTTGAAATTATAGAACATGGTAATGTGAAACTACCTTTTAGGGTTATTAAATAAAATTTCGAAAGATAGTCAGAGGTCACTGATTAATTTATAGGTCTCGTGGATGAGCAACAGAAAGTTCGTACTATCACTGCTTTAGCAATTGCTGCATTGGCAGAAGCAGCCACACCATATGGTATCGAGAGCTTTGACTCTGTTCTAAAACCGCTTTGGAAAGGTATTCGTACACATAGAGGAAAAGGTCTTGCTGCATTCTTAAAGGCTATTGGTTATTTAATTCCTCTTATGGACGCCGAATATGCCAATTATTATACTCGTGAGGTGATGTTAATTCTTATTCGTGAATTCCAGTCTCCTGATGAAGAAATGAAAAAGATTGTTCTGAAAGTAAGTACCTTAAGTTATAATAAGTTATAATAAGTTATAACATGTTGAATATATTACTATTACATTACAATATACTGTAGGTAGTGAAACAATGTTGTGGAACAGATGGTGTCGAAGCACAATATATTAAAGATGAAATCCTCCCACATTTCTTCAAACATTTTTGGAACCATCGAATGGCTTTAGATCGTAGAAATTACAGACAAGTATATATTACATAATATTAATAGGTATACTTACAATAATTACAGAAAGCATTTTATAAATCTTAATTTTATAGCTTGTTGACACGACTGTAGAAATTGCAAATAAAGTTGGTGCATCAGAAATTATAAATCGTGTGGTAGACGATTTAAAAGATGAAAACGAACAGTATAGGAAGATGGTTATGGAAACCATTGAGAAAATAATGGGAAATTTGGGAGCCGCGGATGTTGATTCTCGTTTGGAAGAACAACTCATTGACGGTATTTTATATGCTTTCCAGGAACAAACAACAGAGGTTCATAATATTTATAATCTTTATAAACAATTTCAAGTTTTACATATATTATAATGAATTTATTATATTTGTTATATTTAACAGGATGTTGTAATGTTAAATGGTTTTGGAACTATTGTGAATACATTAGGAAAAAGAGTGAAAGCATACCTCCCACAAATTTGTGGAACAATTTTGTGGAGATTGAACAATAAATCTGCAAAAGTAAGACAACAAGCTGCCGACTTGATATCACGAATTGCCGTTGTCATGAAAACTTGTCAAGAGGTAAATTCATATTCCATACAGGCATAAGTTTTATTAAAATTTCATAAACCTAAATTTTAGTAGTATAAAATCATACTTATTTGTGTTATAGGAAAAACTAATGGGTCATTTAGGTGTCGTTCTTTATGAATATTTAGGAGAAGAGTACCCTGAGGTATTAGGAAGCATTTTGGGCGCATTGAAAGCTATTGTAAATGTCATAGGAATGACAAAAATGACACCACCTATTAAAGACTTACTACCACGTCTTACTCCTATTCTGAAGAACAGGCATGAAAAGGTCTGCATTATTTATACGAATATATTTACGTATACATTCAAAAATCTTGAAAAATATAAATTATTTATACCTAAACTTCTCTGTTTAGGTACAAGAAAATTGTATTGATCTCGTAGGTAGAATCGCAGACAGAGGACCCGAGTATGTATCTGCCAGAGAATGGATGAGAATATGCTTCGAACTTTTAGAATTGCTCAAAGCTCACAAGAAAGCGATTCGAAGAGCTACAGTAAATACATTTGGTTATATTGCCAAAGCAATAGGGTAAGTATAAACTAAACATAGAGGATTTATAATATATTACGTTTTAACATCATTTTGAACTTTTTATCTTTTTCTGTGCAGACCTCATGATGTATTAGCAACCCTCTTGAATAACTTAAAGGTACAGGAACGTCAAAATCGTGTATGCACTACAGTGGCTATAGCTATTGTAGCTGAAACCTGTAGTCCATTTACGGTTCTTCCTGCTTTGATGAATGAGTATAGAGTACCAGAACTAAACGTACAAAATGGTGTATTAAAGTCTTTATCCTTTTTGTTTGAATATATTGGAGAAATGGGAAAAGATTACATTTACGCTGTTAGCCCACTATTAGAAGATGCGCTCATGGACAGGTAAAAAGAGCATTTATACAAAAACTTAATGTTTTAAATTAGAAATAATTATATAATAATTCAATTTAATATAACGTTATACAGAGATTTAGTGCACAGGCAAACTGCATGTGCTGCTATTAAACACATGGCATTGGGTGTTTACGGATTTGGTTGTGAAGACGCATTGATACATTTATTGAATCACGTATGGCCCAATGTTTTTGAAACTTCACCTCACTTGGTGCAAGCATTTATGGACGCTGTAGATGGTTTACGTGTTGCTCTTGGGCCAATTAAAATACTACAATACACTTTGCAGGTAAATCATTCAACACATTGTATTTAAGATATTAATATAATAGATATTTTCATAATGTTTTTACAGGGATTGTTCCATCCGGCACGAAAAGTACGAGATGTATATTGGAAAATTTATAATTCTCTTTATATAGGTGGACAAGATGCTCTTGTAGCTGGTTATCCTCGAATTATGAATGATCCAAAGAATCAGTATATTAGATACGAATTGGACTATGTTTTGTAATGATTTTAAAGTATATGTAAGAGATGTTGTATCATACATTTATATAATCTCCGTAGAAATTAGCATCCTTCGCTTATTATTGTTTATAAACCAGCTAAAATAATTGTATGTTCTTAAATGTGACGCAAAAGATATAGACAACAGTATTTATTTCTTGGACTTCTTTAAACAAATTATATATAAATTCTTCTAAATTAGAAATTGATTCTGATTATAAATTTGCATAAAAAGAGATATTTGTCAGTCCGTATATAAATAAAATGTTTCGTATTCTAAACGATATTGAATTTATTTCGAAGCATTATTTCGCTTCAATATTTATTTAGTTGTTCCCTTAAATTTTATTATATTGTAGTAAAAGAGAAATATAATTACTTTAATCTTACGTAAGATATATTTCCTTCATTTACAATGTTAGAAAAGTTCATATAATTGTATATTTACATAAAAATAAAACAAAATGAACTGTATTCTTCATGAAAACAATATCATAATGAAAACACTAACTTGATTCTTTTCCAATATTTTATTTTTGAAACTTAATTTGTTAAACTACCAAATGAGACTAGTGGCAATTTATCTTTAAATATTTATTTGTAATTTTTAAGACAGTTTAATATTTTATAGTATATATTGTGTAAAACATTCACATACTGAACTTATGTATTTATATTACAATTTTTAAGTATCATTAGAGAATACAGTCGTGTTTGTTTTACATAATATTTGCTTCTTATCTATGAAACATTTATCATATTTTTTGTATAAAAATTGCGTGTGAAATGTCTGTACCTCCAAAGAGATTTTTTTTAAATTGGCATAAAGCATATATGTGTACATATACATACGCATACATCACTGTATTCATGATATTTCTCAACTATTTATGAATTCAATACAATTCCTTTAAGTTCGGTTCTGACAAAGGTGCAATATATATTTTATGCATATTACTATTGTATATACTTTCAAATTGGAAATCAAGCAAAATTTAAAAGCTAAGCTCTTAATATCGTTAACATAGTTAAATTATATATAAAGGCCATCTTTTTATCAAATAGCACTTTCAATAACGTATACATATATCCGTAAATTAGTATAATAAGAATGAATATATCATTATAAATGTGACAAAGTAAGTAAAACTAGACTTTCTTCTACAATATTTCATTATAAAAAAATAATTGATTATAAGAAACACATAATACACATTAAAAAGTATATACGTTTATAAAATTAAGATAATAATCTTCGTTTTAATGAATTTTAAACAATTCTTTTCAACGAATATCGTTATTTCAAAACAGTTTTTCACAAAGTGTCTAATGTTTTGTATTTATTAAAACATAACCATAAACACAATAGATGACTAATATAAGAAGAACAACCAACTAAAACAGTATAACAAATTAAAACTTAATACGAATTACTATTATATCAATTATTTCGTAATAACATCTTGTATAAATCATTTGTTAAACAGAACTTTGGTATAAGAAGTACATGGAAGTATGTAACTGATGTAACAGAAGCTGTTTCTGTGATGAAAACGCTAAGAGGAGCTGATTATAGAATCACACTGATATAACATGTACACTTCATAAAAATTTCAGGCTAAGTACTTATTCATATGCATGAATTTGTAAAAAGCAATATATAAATGTGACAAGCAACCCCTTGTTAGTTTTCTTTCTCTTTTTGTATCATTTCAAATTTGTACGAATTTTACGACACATTAAACGGATGCTTCCAATTTTAATTTGTATATAATACAAGCCACTCTTTACAAAAACCAATATGCAATCAAGTTTGTTAATAAAACTTATTAACATAAGATGCAATTTCTTAACTTATGAAAATTACATGTGATTCTATAAAACACGACTTCGCAATTTATAAGATACCTCTCCATAATTGTTTAAAATATTAATTAAGAGCATAATATCATTAAGTATTTATCTCTCCTTATGCCGTAAAAAATGAATAAGTAACGAAATATAACGGAAAATATTATTTATAGAGAAAAAATCGATAGAGAAAATATCTCAAGCACGCGTAACTGTAACATACAATTTTTGATGAAAATTAAATATATCTCACTTGCATTCTTTTGGACTAAGAACGTTTCATTTCACACATACTACATGGAAATATATTCTCCGTTTATTTCTCGTTGTAGTGTGATAAAATTTACTATAGAATATCATATCTCGTATTCTTGATAACTTTGGTAAATGACTATAGAATGTGAAGGCTGTTTCTCTCTCAGTCACTTCTACAATTAATAAGATTTTTATTACGCTAAGGAATTTTTAAAATATATGGAAGTCAGTTTCAGCTACTTTCATTATTAAATATATATAATAAATTCTTTTTTGAAAATCAGCATACGTAATTTAATGGGTACAGAAAATAGCATTGTAGTATTATAGTGGAACATTTCTCTTTTTTTTTTTTCAAATCCTGTTGCATCTTATGTTCGTTAGGAAAAATTCTGTCTCAACTGTTAAAATTGTAATCTATAAAAAAATACATCGAAGATTATGTATGTTTGATTTTGCACGTTTGTATATACGACGTAAACGAAGATAGTCAAAAAACATGTTTCTCACTTGATATCATATATACGTTTAAGAAGTATTTAATAGATGTTGAAATATCGTTATGAAATTCAAAAGGAAACGCATATGATTAGAGTGATATGATCGAAAAAAAATTTCAATCAAAAAGGTGCAACAATTGCCGATGCTTCACCTCTACTTGTCGGCAATGCAGCACATTCATGCCATTTATTTAAATGGGGATCGTAACATTCAACTGTAGAAATTGTAATTTGCGTCCGAAAAAAATTGATTTCCTGACACTGTTCACCTCCTATAACATAAAGCCTATTATCGGCTGCCGCAATTGCAGGGTATGATCTACCCATATTCATAGGCGCAACGGTACTCCATTTGTTCTGAAATAAGAATAATATTATAACATACAAAAGATTTAAATAACAACATTATAATATATAAAAAGTAAATCACCTTTTCAAAGGAATATCGTTCAACGGCCGTTAAAACTTCTTGATTTTTATTAGTACCACCGACAACGTAAATATATCCATCAAGAATAGTAATTCCCATTTGTGAACGCGCGGTAAGCATTGGAGCTAAATGAGTCCATTCTCTTGTTACTGGATTGTAACTCATTAAATCTTGACTATGCCTGTTATTATGTGTACAACCACCGACTACATACATTAATCCTAAATATGTTAAAATATAAAATCATATTCTATATCTTAATTCAAAAACAAAGAATTCTTTCTATAATTAAATTCATTCACCTTCATAAGCAACTACTCCCATGCTGAATCTCGGTTTAGGAAGTTGCCCGTCAAGTGTCCAAGAATTAGTTATTGGATCATATATCTCTATCGATCCACCAATATCTTCACCCACCCAGCCACCAAATGCATATAAGCTATTATCCAAGGCACAAAGTCCAAATTCACACCTAGGTTCTTCCATACAGGCGATCGAAGTCCATACATTATCACGTGGGTCGTAACATTCACAATTAGCAATAATACATGATTCAAGTTCTCCACCAACAACGTAAACTTTACCATCTAATAATGCAACCCCTGGTAATATTCGTCCTATTCCAATAGGTGTTACCTTACTCCATTCACTATAAAAGATATTATCATTTAATGATCTAACATGTAATATTTTATTATTTAATGATTTAACATGTATTACTTTTAATCTGCAAATTAATATTAATTAGTATATATGGATGGAAATGTACCCGGTAAATATATCATATTTTTCGATTGTTTCGTAAGTACTTTCAGCAGCTCTACCCCAACTACCTGCTGAATGTTCACGCCGTAATCCGCCAATCACTAAAATGTTTTTCTTAGCACAAAGTCTAGGTTGTGCGTGAAGAGGCACAAGACATCCTTTATTTGATACTAAATCCTTTTGTATAGATCTTAACGCAACGATAAGACTCGCGTCTTTACATTCCAAAATAACTCGTTCCAATCTTGCTAATGAACACAGCCGTAAACGTATATGGCTTAATATCTCAAATACGTAACATCTTCTTGTTGGTATATCATGAACAATCCAATTGTATGCTGCTTGGAAGACCTAGTAGCATATCAAAAGATCATAATGTAAATAATATTTACTATTATTTGAACTATTAAGTTTACATTTTCAAGAGTATATACAGGATGTTTCGGAACGGGTAGTACAAGCAGATATGGATGGATTCCTTATGAGAAGCAAATCGAAAATATAGAATAATAATATTTTGTTTGAGACTTAGTTTCTGAGAAAACTAAATTTGAAAATACTTTGCGTGCGTGAAACACTTGCCACACTTAAATTGCTCCGTTCCTGTGCTTATGATCATGCAAAGATTAGCAATATCATGCTTGATTTTGGTAGAATGGTAACTTGGCCTACAAGATCACTGGATCATCACTGGATCATCACTGGATTATCACTGAACCACACAGGCGTTTGAACTACGGATTCTAAATTTATTGACATTAGTTTATGCTTCCGTGATTTGGAGAGTAACAATTTTTTTATAGTAAACTAAACGACAATTTCAATAATTTCTTTATTAATATAAGTCTCAATTCTGCTAAAACATAGTATTAGTCAGTGTCCTTCATAATATGGTCAAAATAATAACATATAATACAATCGGTTAAGTCAAAAGCGTTACAAGTACCCGTGAACACGAAAAATTTTAAAACTTAATTTTCTCTCTTTTGTAGAGAATCTTTACCCATGCCCACTTGTATTACCTGTTCCAAAACAGTCTATATAAGAGTACAAACCTGGAATTCAGTATCAATATGAATATAATCACTACTGAGAAAATGAACAAGATGTTCTTTTGGCAGATCCAAAAATTCTTCCTCTTGAGATACTTGAGGAAAATTGACTTGTATAAAGCGTAGGGCAGTTTCCAAAAGATCTAATCTGTTATGAGCTTCTGCAAATCTATTTAATATAAATATTTTAGGAAATAGTCCTTTACAATAATCTAGGTATATGTCTTGCTCATGTCTTGCTATAGTCTTGCTCATCTCACCTATAAATCCCAAGGGCATTTGAATAATGCAGTTGCTGTTTCAAGTAAGTAATGCAACCAAACACTACTTCATCTAATTCTAGCATATCAGCAGCTGCAAATAATTCTTGAACATTGTCCTGGGTAATATCAACATTCCCAGAGTAAATGAAATCCACCAAGAGGGAAAGTATATGAGCTGATACTGAATGAATTTCTACTAATTCCTGTTGTTCTTCCACCAAGCCACCAGTGAACATAGCATTAAAATAAGCACTTCCTGCTGCTAAAACCGATCTGTGTGCTCTAATAATGCTCCCACCAGCGACCAGGCCTACATCACTAAACTGATTTTTTAGTCTTTGGGTATTTAAATTCCTTAAAACTTTCGGAGCATATTCCCCCACAGCATAAACGGTATTGGAAACATCAGAAGTTTGTTTTACTGGTTGTGTTGCAAAACCCATATTATTACAGTTATGGCCATTCTTTATTGGTGGCACTGCACCATCCGCCATGAAACTGTCAAGTTGTCCTTTATCTGCAGTTCCTAATAAAACAATTATCTCCTTTGTGCGAATATAATTTTTATTTGAATACTTCATAAAAATAATTCTTCCTAATTTTATATAATTTTGCAATGTACATTTTGGATTTACAATTAATTTATTATAAAGCAGAGAATTGTTAGTTTTTAAATATTATTAAAAATTTAAGTCATCTAAAATCTAATATAAGGAGAATAAAAAATATGACACATAATGGCAACTAGATTTTAATCGAATAGGTTCATTTATTACATTTACGTAATAATTATATTACTTCAGGAAATGCAATGACCTAAACAATTCAATTAATTAAAAAATGATATATAGTATATACTTACGGCATATACGCGAAAGCACCTTATAGACGCTTTGAAACGATTTTGTATTATTTTTCCCTTTTAAACGCATCACTACAACCACATTTTCACGTAATTTTATTGCTTGATACCGCTCTTTATTTGGTTCATCCCTTTCTTGATTCCACCAATTATTCACTAATTCGGTAATAAGAAATCTGACATATGTCAAATAACCTATTTAATGTATGAAAGTAGCTACAAAAGAATCACTAATAAGAACGGTATATAACACGTTTACGAAACAATTTACGAACATCAACAAAGATAACATGAACTTGAACTTCTTCTAAACATAAGACTACATATATATACTTTACTTGTAACTGAATAAGAACACCGACTTTTCCTTATTTCTATATATCAAAATTAAAGCTTCTTATTCACTCATTCTACTCGTTCGATTTTGGTAATTCAATTATAAGTTCATTGCCTTTCAGTTATACCAACAATATAATAAGAGTTATCCTATAAACATAATCGACATATATATATTTAATTTTTTATTTTATTTAATCTTTGTTCTCACACAAATATAATTTTACATACATACCGTTCAATAAATAAGTACTCTAATGTTTTTCAGATCAGCTAATTCAATATTTGTAGTGGTACGAATGGTATTTTACCTATAGCTCCATTCATTATGAACAGGAAATATAAATCATCTTGTTCTACTCAAAATTGGGTTTCATGTATCATAGCTTCAAAATACGATATTTATAAATTGTTGTTTCCATTTTTCATATATACATATATTATTTAAAAAAATATTCATTTAGTTTCATTAGTGATTTAACATGTCGACTATGTCAAGGAAAAGGAAAACCCCATCGAAATTAAAGGTAACACTAGTTTCGTACCACATTTTTAATGAATAGGAATACAAAAATTTCCTAACCTTATTTTTATTTACAGAGCATTGGTAATCACGACGAATTTTTAAATCGTATATCGAAATCGCTTTACTATTCGAAATTACCAGTAACTGATTGCCTCAGTCTACCTGTTACCGGTTAGTATCAGTAATTTTAAAAATATTTATTGACATATTCGCTCTACTTAAATTATATTAATGAAATTGTATAATTTCTAATTAATCTAATATAATAGTCTTAACAAGTTATTTAAGTAAAAAATAACGTATTACTTTCTTATAAGCTATATATTATTATATTTTATCTATTTGATATAAATTTATAAATTGTTGTGATGCTTAAGCAAAATTTTTATATTTTAATAATATTTCACAAACAATTATTTTTTACAAACAAATATTTTTCATCATTAATGATTATGTAATTAAACTTTATTCTTAGAATTGGCAGCTGAGTTATTTACTGAAGTGAAAGGTGGTTATACACTTGAAAGATTAGATGTGGAAGAGGCTAGCAGAATATCTAGAAATGCATGTGTTTCGCCATGTTCCCTTGTTTTAGCATTACTGTATTTGGAAAGATTGAAAGATTGTAATCCAGAATATCTTCAACAAGTGGCACCTTCTGAGCTCTTCCTTGTTTCCTTGGTATTATGTTTGCCTCAAATAAGATTAAATTAACCATTGAGGATTATTATAAAATATATTGTTTTTTGTTCTACAGATGGTGGCTAGTAAATTTTTAAACGACGAAGGAGAAGATGATGAAGTTTTCAATGCTGAGTGGGCACTATCAGGTGATCTGACTATATTACAAATAAATCAGTTAGAGAAAGACTTTCTCAAAGCTATTGTAAGTAAATTAAATATACTACTGAATCTGATGTTGTATGTACTGATGATGTATGTTATTAATAAGAAATCTTTCCAATTATACAGGATTGGACTGTTTTTGTTCATAATCAAGAATTTTGGGAAAGACTACAGAAATTGGAGAAAGATGTAGCTTACAGAGAAGCACAGAAAAGAGGCTGGTTTTCATATACAGAATTAACTTGTCTAATGAATTCAATGCAATTAATAGCAGTAGCACAAGCTGTAGTAAATATGTCAACCATTTGTTTGGCAACATATACTGCAGGAGTAATTACTCTTTTAGGCTCTGCCTTAGTTGCAAGCTACCTTCCAGGGACAGTACTTAGTCCAAGACAAATAAATAATTCTACAGATATGAAAACAGATTGTAATCCAGTAATGGATATAACCTCATTGCCAATTGAAATTGAAAGTATTTCATCAGAAGATATTTTAATTGATGATTTTATATATACATCCTTAAGTTGCAATCAATCTCAAGAAAATTGTGAATATATTAGAATAAACGAGGCTACTGATGCAAATTGGAAATGGTGGTTAAATTCTATGATGATATGGCTACCGGAATATTCAGGTCTAGAGTCGACAAAAACATTGCGTACAGCAAACGATAAAACCGAATATGCAGACACGTCAATGACAACAAAATTTTTATTCGACATTACTATGTCAGACGAACCTTTTATAAAATTTTGGAAACAAATATTGGGGATTGATTTAGAAATTCTTCTGCACGACTGGAGATATTACGCGAACTGTGTTACAAAATTGACACTCGATCATCAGCACTGAACATCACATATCAAAATATTAAAATTTAACAAGATATATTGTCTATATTAGAAGAGTTTCCAAAAAAGGTATATATATATTTTTTTTACTAACCTGTAACTGGCAAAAAAAATTTCTTTACTAACAAATCATTTTTTCAATAAAGAATATGAAATATGGAGGCATTAGTTTTTCTTAATTATGACAACCTTTAGGATATAAGCTCTACAAACAGATCTAAATAATAAAAAGAAAAATGATAATGTCAGAATATAAGACACAGGATAATCTATCTGTTACTACTGCTATTTATACAGTTTTGATAATACATTTACAATTACTTTATAGATTATGTATACATTAAATACATTCATTGTACAGAAATTACACAATATTACATAAACGCTATGATTGTCATAAATTAATGTTGCAAATAATTACGAAACTTGGTCTCGAGTATATCGTAAGTTGATAATTTTTTCTCTACTATTGTACATCAATTTACTATAAAAAGTAAATATTGTAATAATAGTAAAAGTTTTTAAGCGTGTAATATTTATAATTTCAACCACCATTATGAAAATAGGAAAAAACAGGAATAGGTGTCATCCCAATAATGCAGCCAATTGTAACTCCGATAACACGTCCCTGGATTATTAAAAATTATTTTCTTATTCGTTGTAAATTCTTAATTGAAACGAAATGTAAAAGTGAATGTATCATACCAAATTAGCGGCTGCTTTTGTTCTATGTAGGTTTAACTGCATGGGAGTAAGTTTTGGTGCTTTAAAACCAACACTTTGAGCAAAACGTTCTACATAATGTACAGATCCAATTCCTATTATATCAGATATTGTATTTCCTAACGCGGCAGCTGCCATAGTCGATATTGGAAATTTTTTATTCAATATTATTTCAATTTGATCTCCCTGAAATGACAACATTACAAACTCGAACATACATAATATATATCCGTAATACATACAGCAACAATCATGATGAAGTTGTCAAGAAAACCAAAGCCAATGAATGGAATTGCATTTGAAATTGCAACTGTAAGAATGTTATATATCATTATATAATATTAATTAAACATCTTTCACAATAACAAGTTCAAAAAATTATTATATTTTATTAGATAGATTATTTTAGTAAATACTTAAAATTGAGTTTATATGTTTCTTAAATATATTTGTTGAATGTTAATATTTAAAATTCATACCTAATACTAGATCTTTTGTAGTTGGTTCTGGAACAGTTTCAGCTGCAAGAGGAAAACAAAAAATGTAAATGTGTGTCTTTTTATAACATGATAATAATTAATTAATAAGTAACTATGAAAAATATGATTCTTGTGTTACAACACATAAATGACAAAGGTTCATGCATTCATTTCTTTATATATACAAAACTTAATCATGTTTAATAACTTTATAAGTGATAGGAAAGTTACTAAAGATTGGCATGAAATGATAACATTATATAATTTACATGAGGAATATTTACTATGGTTAATTACCTAACAACAAATAAAAGAAAATCTATAGGATAAGTAATTAATTAATTAAGTACACAAGATTATGAAAAAAATTTTATTCAAATAAAAGTACATTTTTTTTTATCTAAAAAGTACTTACATTAAAGTTTGCTACATATATGCTAAATATATCTGTATTCTGTGTAAAATTAAGTTAAGTATTCTGTTTTAGAATATGTTCTACAATATGAAAAGAATATTTAGCATGCAAAAACATGAAACATTCCACATGAAAATTTAGTGGAAGTAGCAAAAATTAAATTGTAAAAATATTTTAACATGATCTTTTTTTATATAATGAAAATTTCTAAAATTATTTACCTAAATGTTCAACTTATTTTTATACAGGTATCTGGCTGCATTCATTATGTTCATTGTTGAATTAATAGATGAAACTCATTATAAAGTTCTTGTAAAAAATATGCTTTTTTCAAAGTGTTCAACATCTTAAATCATAAATGTATCAAAGTTACTTAATGAAATTGTGAGAGTTATTATTCAAAAATAGCATATATTGTTTAAAAAAATGTGAAATGTATAAGAAAATTTGTGTTAAGAAACGTTTCTTTATAACATTTGTAAATATTTATCATTATATATTGTTTAAAAAGAGTATAATATAAAAACATAACTTAAATAGTTTAAATTTCCCTTAAGCTACCATATAGCATTATGTATATTGTGTTAAAAACAATAATAAGTATGTACATGTAATGTAATATATTACCTAAGTGTGGTTCTGTAGTTGTCTTTTTAAAACATCCAGAAAGTTCAGTTAGAATAGAAGAAGTAAGTAAAAGAATTAAAACACAATTAAAACAGTTGCATATAAAATACTAGTTTAGTGCATATTAAAATAAACTTACAAATTGATGCCCATGTAGAATGCAATGGAAGAAAATTTTTTATACTGTTAAAGAATAATGAAAATTGCAATGAATCATAATATGATAATAATAAATATTTTTACCTTTGAAATTCAGATCATTAATATAAAAAAAAGTTAAATCTTAGTAATATAGAATTCTATTATTGCAATCTACTTTAGTAGTGATGCAAAAGCTATTATATTTCATTTTAAAATTATAAATTGTTAATTACTGATTATTACAAAAATTAAATAATATTCTTAAGCCCTTACCATACTTGCGCATAAACCAATCTTCTGGTACAGGACAATAAGTGCCTGTAGGATCCATATCCCCTAATGATATTTTGCTAGGCCGTCCAAGTTTATTACACCATCGAAAAGCAGCTAATTGGTCTTAAAGGAATAGAAGAATAATTCTCATAAATGTTGTACAAGCAAAATTCATTCATACATTATTCATCAGATTTATAAAAAATAATTCTATTTTAGTGGTAAATAAACTGCAGATTTTTATGCATTTATGAAAAATTCAAAAATAAAAAAGTGCATAAAATGCACATCATATGTAAAAATATATAGAATACCTGAAATAGAATACTTCTATATTTGCATTTGCAAAACAATTGTCTACCTACCTTCTTAATTATATTTATAGAAATATGAATTTACATAAATATCCGCAGTCTAATGATAATTTGTAGAAAAAATAATTACCTTGATATCCAACTCTATCCTCTTCCGATTTACATTCTTCAAGAACTTTTAAAAAAAGATTTCGTTCTTCCAAGGTAAGCTTAGAGGCTACTTCTTTCGCCTTTTCCTTCGTTAAGGATTCAGGAAAATTTATTTTGCTTCCCGCGCTATAACGTATCCTCGATATACTCCACGTATCAACAAGAAACGAAAATAAAGAATGCTTTCTTAACAGAAAATTATCCACACAACACAATTTTTGACGACTGTGATAAAATCGCGATATATTTCTACTAAAATACATCATTTCCCGCGGGATGAATACTGTTTGACTAGTTAAAGTTGCAATCACCGTACACATCTTTACGAAAAAGAATATTCCCTTCCCTTCACGATATTTTGAATCAAATTTACGTGATTACGAAGGCATGTATAGTACTAATACCTAAAATCAATAATTGTGTTTGTTTAGTAGCGATAAAGATATACTATGCTATTAAACATTTAAAGATACATACACGTGCACATATCTTGAGTTACATAGATACACTGGCAATGACTCAATCTTACGTCATTGTTAAATCACATATTTAATAGTCTTAAACATCAAAAAATCATTGATAAGTTTCAGTTATCTTAATCAGTTAATACTACTTTATTTTTGGTTTTCAAATATTTAATCTTTTAATTTTGTAACATCCGTAGTAACATAAAAAATTATTACATATAAAAAACAATTTGTAATAATTTTATAATTAGATGTTAAATATTTGCAATATATATACATATATATATATATTATCATATACCAGATATGTATATTAGAATATATACTACTTCAAGTGTAAGTAGTTTCTTAAAAATATTATATATATAATATTATAATTTATACAACCTTGACTTGAGAAAAATTTACAAATCAGAAAAAGGAAAACGTTTAAGAAGTGCTTTTATTTATAAATTATACAATATTGTCATTAATTATTTATTAGTTTAATATTATTCTACATCATCTTTCTAATCGTACTGTTTTAATACATGGCCTTCCATATCTACGTTTAGCTTCATCAAGGAAGGCATTTTCCATTTGTCTCACGATTTCGTTAAAAAATAGATTCGACAAATGCGAATGAATTAGTGATTTAAATTCGAACGACAAAGAAAAATCAATGACGCAAGTTTGTGCATTATTTTTTAATCCTGGACTGAAAAGCCATAACGTATTTAAATGATTAAATAATCTACCATCTGAGCATTCAGCTTTTACGAAACGCGGCCGCATTGTCGTCACTTTTGATGTATAACTTTCATTTATAGGTGGAAATCCTATTACTAAGTTCGCTTTGAGCATATCATCACTTTTGAATATAACGTCGGATTTTTTACAAAATGGTACAAAATTTTTATAATTTTGCACGTCAGCTACGACATCGTATATTTGTTCCATTGAGAACCTGGGTATATAAAGAACTTGTCATAATATTTTTAGTTCCTTCGTGAGGTACCGATGAATTTAAAATTGACAATTCTTAAATTTAGAAAACTCACCCTACTAATTTACGACCTTCATATTCTTTTGTTCTTGCAATCATATATATTCTTCCTATATATTGTTTGTTAAAATTTTGCTTATTTTGAAGAACAGCATTTTCAAGCAATAAAATCGGTCTGAAAATGACATTAATACTTTTATCATAGAAATTAATTAAAAATTAAAAAAAATCTCTTGATTATGCATTTAAATGGTTCACCGAAAAAAATATTATTTTATTATTCTTTAATCATAAAAACAAATTTTATATTTTATTTTAACAATTATAACACATTGTTACTTACATAATATTATTAAAAGGAAAGTTTTAAAATTATGAGAAAATATATATGCGAGTGAAATGATAATGACTATTGTTTAAATTTCTAAAAATATAACAGTTATTGAAATATTTAGGAACGCTTGCAAGTGAAATGTACAAATATTAGTTAGGTTATGTATTATAATAATTTGTTTCATATTATAAATTTCCTTTTTTTATGATTATTATATTTAATATGCACTACATAATTTAGTATCTACAATTATTTTAAGAAATTATCTTAAGAATGGTAATTTAGGAAATGGAACACACATACGAAACATAACCTAGATAAATGAGCAATATACAGTTTATATTGAATGGAGTATTTAAAATAAATAAATACAAAAAGTATGTTACCTATACATGATGGTACAAGTTAACAATTCCACTGCATATAACATACATTAATAAAATTTATATACACAGATATATATACGTCATATTTTTATATATGCATGCGAAAACTTTGAATGTTATCAATTTTTACAAATACATTTCGTTGGTTTTTGTCTAATTTAAGCATTTCATCCAATTAAGATATATTTTATATTATCCATGTTTAAAAGTACGAATAAATTCTTTGAATTATTCAAAGTGGAACTACATAAAAAACTGATAAGAAGCATATAGATACATTTAAGAATAATAGGTGATATTTATAATTAAATGTCAATGAGTAGTATATAAAGTATAACAAATTTAGTTTATATAATAAAATGAATCCATATTTTAATCTAGTATATTAATTATATTACACAAAATATATTTGGGAGTTGTGTAATGCAGATATTATCAACAAATAAAAGTTTTTTAATTTTAAGCAATTCTATTGAGTAACTCCTTGCGTGTCATTGACATTGATATGAAATTTGACAGTGGATTAAGACACATTTCTACCCAAGCAAAGATCACAGAAAGGTTGGTACATCCTCACGTGCGTAGCTTACATAACACAGGTACCGCAAACGTCTTCACCCTAATTCATTTTAAAAAATGGCTGGTATTACACCGCAGGCTTGCAAAAATGCACTTCGGCAAGTAAGTATTGATAAAACTCATATTGATAATTAAATAATCACACTTTCTTAGTTATAGATTCTTTTTCTGCTTATGTTGCAAAGTGTTGTGCAAACCTACAATAAAACCTAACTTTAATCTATCGCATCATCGATGTCAATTCCATTGTTTTTTTCGTTTATATATTTTGACATTTATACTTAAACATTGAGAACAATGTCACAACAATGAGAACAATAATTAATTAAATAATGTTACGCGATGCTTTTGTTCAAACCATTATTTTATTTTTTATTTAATTTAGTGTAATAATTGGACAGACTGTCAGTATATAATTCTAGTTTCTTATTTTATTAATAAATAATTTTTTATTGTCGATAAATTCTTTATTGGCAAATATTCAAATAGAACGTATTCAATTAAATAAATATTCCGTTAAATGTATTATTATATTTGTGAGAAAATTTCGTAACTGTAATTGGCACATAATCAATAGTATAAGATTAAATACATCTATCTAATTAAATAAAAAAAGATAACACTATTTTATACAATAATTCATATTAACTAGCTATTTTTATTTAAATTCATTATTATATTAGTCTTCATTGATTTAGGTTAGAAGATTTCATATTTCTGCAAATCAAAATGCTGCAGCCAAATTAAAAACCTTTGCTGTGTATCGTTGGAATCCAGATAAGCCAGATGAAAAGCCATATATGCAAGAATATAAAGTGGATCTAAACACGTAAGTTTATTTAAAAAATTTTTTTTTGTAATTCTGTATTATTTTAATTCAAACTTTGTTATAGCTGTGGTCCTATGATATTGGATGCATTAATTAAAATTAAGAATGAAATTGACCCAACTTTAACTTTCCGTCGTTCTTGCCGTGAAGGCATTTGTGGTTCTTGTGCTATGAACATTGGTGGTACAAATACATTAGCATGTATAAGGTATATACTAATTACCTTTATTGAACAATTTTCAATAATAACACAAAGTTAGATTTAAAATATAAATCCTGATTGGTGTTATTTCAGCAAAATTGATACTGATACAAATTCAACTAGTAAGATTTATCCCCTACCACATATGTATATCGTAAAAGACTTAGTACCAGATCTAAATAACTTTTATAACCAGTATAAAAGTATACAACCATGGTTGCAACGTGGTGATGGACAGGAAAGTGGTTCAAAACAATATTTGCAGAGTGTTGAAGACCGTAAAAAATTGGTAATTAAATATTATAATTGTTAATGGAATTTTATATTTTTTATCCTAATGCAATAATGTGTAGTAATTAGTAATAGCACAATAAAATATAATTTTTGTGATATAGGATGGTCTCTATGAATGCATCTTATGTGCTTGCTGTAGTACCTCTTGCCCATCATATTGGTGGAATGGTGATAAGTACTTAGGACCTGCTGTGCTTATGCAGGCTTACAGATGGATTATTGATTCGCGTGATACCAAAGCAAAGGAACGTCTCGAAAAAATGCGAGACCCATTTTCAGTATATCGTTGTCACACTATTATGAATTGTACTCGTACTTGTCCAAAGGTAATTTTAAATGATCTAAAAAATATAATTCTTCAGTGTAAAATTATATGTTTTTTTAAAGGGTCTGAATCCTGGCAAAGCTATTGCAGAAATAAAGAAATTGTTAGCCAATATTAGTGAGAAACAAAAACCTGGCATTGATGCTGCTGTATAAGTGAAAAATGAAAATGGAATTAGTCAATCATATGTACTTTTCGTTCATTATAATTAAATATGAAAATATGTTTGATTAAATGAAAACGAATAAATATAGTTAATTTAAATTATTTAATAAAATAATATATAGTTGAAGTCAAATTTTTCATGAACATCGAATGTGGTTTACTGTAAATAAAAATTCCTTCTGATATAAATGATTTTATTTGTATGTACTTCAACTATTGACTTTTATATAAATATGGAGGTGAAACATAATATATTGAAACTCATTAAATAAATGCAATAGAATATATTCAGTACTTTATATTGCACGTTTTATATCTTTCTAATAACGCATTATTGCTAATATGAATTTGTTGAAACATTGATTAATTTCACAATGAGCAAGATGTTATTTAGATATGTATTTTTACTCTTTTTACTAAAAAACAAAGATATACTAATCTTGCTATTATTTAATTCAAATCTAAGTAGTTAAGTAGTACCATCAAAAATATACACGCATATAATACTAGAAACTTGTACATTATAATATTTATAATTATCATAAAACTATAGTAAATTATGTAACGGTACGACATATTAGAGAATAAGGACATCTCAATATTTTTCCATTTAGTTTTTGCATAAGAATGCATGATATGCATAATTGAAAACTATCTACAAAATTGTTGAAAATTTTTCAAGGTTACATGTACATCACAATAAGATTTAAGGCTCTGCAGCCATTCTATTTCTTGCTGTTTCCCTCGATCGATTATGTACTTCTGCTGTTCTTAAAGTAATACCAAATATGTCTTCGTGATAACGATTTTCATCCTAAAAAACAATTATATAAGTAATTGAAATTGAATATTTAGACATAAAATTGTGATATGGCTTACGCGTAATGATAACATATACGCCTCGACCTGTTTATCAGTCATTTCACCATGAGTCTGTATAATATGTTTCAAAGTTTGATAAACATCTTCTGCCATTGTACAATCGCCACAAACATAAAAATGACCTCCTTCGTACACCAACATATCATAAATTTGTGAAGCTTCTGCTTGAATTAAATCTTGTACGTATGTCTGTTAAAATTAATATAACTATAATATTTCAAATACTACAAAGTAATGTTAAAAATTCTTTAAAAAACATTTTAAATTGCAACCTTTTTCAATCCAGGTTCTCGCGAAAGAGCTAAGAAAACCTTATCTAAAACGCCAACCTTTACCATTTCTTCCTTTTCTTGTCTGTACAGATCTAAGCTTCTTTGACGACAACCAAAAAATAACCAGACATTTCCGTACTCAAGATCTACAAATTTTTTATTCCGTATTTATTTTAAGAATATTATAATATATCATAAACTATGATACCTGGTTGATATTTCATTTGTGCAAGGCGATGATGCCAGAAACCACGGAAGGGAGCAATTCCAGTTCCCGGACCAACTAGTATCATTGGCGCTTTTGGTTCGATTGGCATATAAAAGTTAGGTGCACTAAATGTAGAAAGAAATATATCATATTTTACTACATCTGCTAAAATTATATTAATAAAAATTGCTTTTACAAATACGAACTTACCTACGTACAAATACATATAAAGGTTCTCCATCTGATATTTCACGTAGATAATTAGAACAAACTCCATAATGAACTGGCCCAGAACCGCCTAATTTTTTACAAATAATTATATTTTTAAGCAAAATAAGGTCTCTAGATAATTCAGGGATTGTATGTAAAATTAGATACCTTGTGTTTTATATTGTACAACAGCGACGGTAAGATGTATTTGTCCTTGATGTACATCCGGAGAAGAAGAAATACTATAAAATCTCGGTTGTAAAGGAGTTAAATGGAGTAATAATAAGGGCGCAAAAGGTTTCACGGATGGAAATTCATCTAATACTTCTACTAAATTGGGGAACTTCCAATGTCTCCAATCCTCGTATGCTGCTGGATCCTATATTTAAAAAGAAGAAAAGATTTTCCAGATTTTTTCATGCTTTTGGTAATTAAATTTTTTCAAATTGAAGATTAATATAATATTTACAGAAGCTAAAAGGTTGAGTTGAGCTTGTTCTTTTGGATTTGTAGCAATCGATGCAAAGTATCTAAGAAGGTTTGGTGTTGGTGGTATCGTGATATCTAAAAATCTTTTCAGTAATATTCTCAAGGAATTAGGAAGATACCTATCATGTGCCATCCACGTTTTCACGATTCCTATATAACAAAGAAAAAGAAATTTATTGCTACTGAACAATAACGAGACTTAATATTTTCAATAATGTTAATGCTAACCATTCGGTGTGTGGGATTGCTTCTGTATTTGCAATTCAATCGGTGTATTTGGATCAAAGGGAGTTTGTACTCGTTCCAAAATTGCTTCTACCAATTCTGATCTATTACATGCGAAAACTCCCAAATGATCACCAGGCTTATATTGTATTTCCATACCTGCTATATCATCGAGTTCCAGAAGTAATGTAGTTCCACTATATAAGATCGTAAAGTCAAAGTTCATTGTATAATTATAAAATTATTATTTAAAATATATCATTACCTCGATGAATCACCGCTTAAATTTGTTTTTCGGAACATATTACAAGTAGTCACGTTTCTATTGTGACATTTGCTTAAAGCTGAAATATTACAATTATAAAATTTATAATTTATAAACAGTTATAGATAACATACCTTTTCCAATTAGTTGTGGTTCAGCTTCTACAAACCGAACAGTAGCTGCCGACAAAGCTTCTGAGCCTAAAGATAAAGCAACTTCAAGTAAAGTATCATCGTCATCTAAGCAGAAAGTTTCACACGCAACCTGGAATTGTTATGAGAAATGCTTAAAAATTACTGCATAATAATATATAAAAGATTATAGTAATAAGATACAAACAGCGAAAGTATCGGCTGCCCATTTCCGAAACGTTTGTTCCTGTCCACACATTTCATCTCCTTGTGCCAATTTCAACAGTCGTTCTCCGCCTAATTCGCCTAGCAAGTTATCCACATAGCGACCAAATGCGCAAAAGTTTGGATATGCTGATGATCCCAATGCGAAAACAGCAAATCTATAAAAGGGAATATAAGCTTCGTTTCACATTTATAAGTTAATTTTAAATAAATATCTATACCTGACGTTGCTCAAAGGACCAAAAGTGTCTTCCGTTTGAGAATCTGTGGTAGAACCACGAAGTGAATCCAGTCTATCTAGTTTCTTTGAATTGCTTACTTCTGTCTGACTATTTGCTTTAATGAACGATTTTGAGGTCGCTAGGCTGAAATCATGGTATAAATCATTGGGATTCAATTTAAGAATTTCATCATTTTATTATTTTAAATGTATAAATACCTTATCTTATTGCCACTATTAATGTACGTTTCATTCATTTTCATTGCGTACAAATTTTGTGCGAAAGCCTAGAAGATAAAATATATATGAAACCATAATTTGTTTCAATCTTTTTATACAAAAGATATAAATTTACTTCGCCATTTTCTGGGGGATCACCGTTCCCAAAGGTGGATGTTATAACCAGTAATAAAGCTTCGTGTTCTATATTACTGATATCATAATCCGACATACAGAGTACCTAAAATTGATAGCTTCAAGTATTTTTCAGGCGTTATTTCTTTAAAATGAACTTACTGAAACTGAAAGTTTTGTGATATTTAATTAAATAATGAATACCTGGGAGTGAAAAGCATGTCCTAATAATTCGCTAAGTTTCTCAGCGTACATCTGTGAGGTGCCAGTTTCCGTAGCAAATAATACTGTAGCTTTTATTCTTCGAGATAAAGCTCTTCCAAATAACTTAGACGTAAATTTTACTGCTCTTGCAATTTGCTTAAAATGAAACTTTCGCCTTGGCTTTTTAGATGTTGATTTTTTATCGCGACCCTTTTTCCAAACATGTGTCTTCCAAGCAGGTTCCTATTATTTTACAGTAAAGAAATATAATAAATATAAAATAGAGATGTGCTAAATAACTTATCCAATAAAAACCTGAGCATCATACGATGGCTTCAAATAATACAGGGCCATCTCCTGATGAAACACAGGTGTAGCTGATCCTGATATCGGTGGTACGATCCAGAGCCAATCGGCTGGACATCCATTTCTTAATCGCATTTCATTTTCGTAATGTTTCATGAAAGATTCCGAAGCGGTATGGTGATCCACGATTGTCACATTTTTCATCTAAAAGATTTATTATTAATTTTTATAAAAAATGTTGAATATTATTATCTACAATTTATATATACATACTTGAAAACTATACAAAACAGCAACATTAGCTTCTATCATGGCTTTGTCTTTCCATAATGAAGTGGATGTTCTTGTATCTAATCCCATATGAGTTGCAATTGTCTAAAAATAAAATTTATTTTAGCACGTTTCTCTAGAAGAATGAATATTAAAATTCCGTAAAATATTTACTTCTAGTAAATTATATCGTTGAACATCGCATAAATCCCTCGACCCAATTTCAGTGCTCATGTACCATCCATTGAATGGTGCGGCTGTAAACTCCAAACCTCCGCAATCGAATACCATTCCAGATACGGCAGGAACCGCGAACCATTTTAATTCTAATTTCTCAAACCAATCGTATCTAGAATAGAACAAGTAAAAATTATTTGACATTAATAAATTTTACAAAAATACATTAATAACGAACAAAAATACTTACGTTGGATGACTAAGAGGTACTTCAAGAACAAGTTCGCTTGGAATATCAAAATAATCAGGATCATGGCCGTTTGCTGACAATACCAACGGCAATATGTCGAAACGAGTGCGTGCACTTCTCCAACCTAGTTTCATGCATAGCTGTAAAAAACAGTAAGTTGACTGATAGTTTTAAATTAGAAATGGAAAAGGCAATTGGAATTAATCAGCTTACTTCGGTGAACTCAACGTTTGCAGGATCACCAATTATGGTACCGTCTGGATTTTTATATCCCGCATAACTTATTAATTGTTGATTCCACACTCTATAATCGTGTTTTCCATCTGTACGTTGTGGAAATATAGTTATTGCAGACCTAAAAATAATAAAAAATAAATAGTACGCATCCCATGGAAAATTTTTTCAGTTGAAATACCTAATGTTTCCTTTGTTCGTACTGTACTTAATGTGATTGCATAAAGCTTCAAACATGCCGCTGGTAGTCGTAACGTAACGAC